TATCAAAGGCATCATATAAGACTTCCATTGGAATCTCTTCGGTATTTTCCGCGACCTCTGTAGTCTGTCTGGGTCTTAACTGATTCCAGTGTCTTTTACAAGGGAATTTTTCTCCTACTATGTCGCAAATGATTTGACCAATTCTTTTGGTTATTACACCTTTCCAATACGCTTTTCCAGCCCTAAAATTTTTGAAGAAAACTTTATCTCCTGGCTTATATACTTTAGTCATGTAGTTTTGTTTCTTTGCAGTTTTCTTCGCTGGACTAGGCAACAGCCTGTCGGAAACAGAGTGTATTCTTCTTGCAAACATTAACTCTGCTGGCAATAATCCTGACGTCATGTTCGGGTTTGGCATGATTCTGTACACTGCCAAAAATTTATGAATACTCTGTTCATTCGTGTCCACACCTTGACTTTTCTTCAAGGCTCGTTCAAATGTGTCCACGAATTTTTCTGCTTGTCCATTCGATCTTGGATGATAAACTGGTGTTGTCACATGATCGATGGACAATGCTGTGCAGAATTTCTTGAATTCACTTCCTGTAAACTGCGTTCCGTTGCCACTGACTAAAGTTTTAGGGAGTCCGAAACGACTAAAAATTTCACTAAGGGCATTTATCGTATTTGTCGCAGTTGGATGTCTGCACTTTACAATTTCTGGCCACTTAGTAAAACTGTCTACCACAATCAGGTAATACGATACATTTATGGGTCCTGCATAGTCGATATGCCGTCGAGTCCATGGGACATCTGTCTTTGGCCATGGTTGACTCTTTACAGGTGGATCCCTTGCTGCCAGTTGACATCTTTTACACTGTTTCACCACATTTTCTATGTCCTGGTCCATCCTCGGTCAATACGTGTATCCTCTCATTAGAGATTTCATTCACGGCAGCCCTGGATGACCAGTGTGAAATTCTTTTAGAATTTTTTTCTGTAAAGTACACGGTATTACAACTCTGTCTGTGTAAAGTAATATCTGATCACATATTGAAAAAGGTGACATACTCATTCCTTTTTTGTTTTCTTGTTCAAACCGACTTGCTTTTTCATTTTCTTAATGAAATCATCGTTTTTCGCTGCTTTTTTTCACATCATCTAGAGTAAACAGTAGTTCTCTAATGGTATTGCATAACAGACCCAACAATTCATTTTAACAAAAATTGTTAACAGCAGTTTGTGGTCTGTTTGCAGAGTAAATTGTCTTCCATATATGAATCTGTGAAATTTCTTTACAGCGAAGTTTATTGCCAAACTCTCTTTTTCAATTTGGCTATAATTTTGTTCCATATGCAGTAACATTCTCAAAGCATGTGCTACTAGCTTTGTAGTTCCGTCCTCGAGTTTATGTAGCAATACAGCACCTAGTCCGTCATTACTAGCATCTGCTGCTACAATCATTTTCTTCTTCGGGTCGAAATGCACCAAAGATAGGTCTGCTAATAAACAGTTTTTTATTTTTTAAAAGCATCCTCACATTCTTTCGACCATATCCACTTTGTGCCCTTTTTCACCAAATTGTTTAAAGGGGCTCTCATTTCATACATTTTTGGGATATAAATACTATATAGTCTACCAATCCCAAAAACGTTACCTTCAATCCAAAAGAGAGACGATTTAACTTAAAAATCCCTTTATGAGTATTTATTGTCAGGTACTTTGAACATTCTCCACTGACTTTAACCTGAAGGTAAGCCTCCGACAAGTCCAACTTTGAAAACACTCTACCTCCGTTCAATTTAGTAAATATATCCTCCGGAGATGGTAGAGGGTAGGCATGGTCTTTTAAACAATTGTTCAGGCCTGTCGAGAAATCAGCACACACTCGTGATTTTTCGGTTTTTCTTTTTTATATAAACAGTTGGAGACACCCACTTTGAGTAATCCACTTTTGAAATTATGCCAATTTTTTCCAACCTTTCTAACTCCTCATTTATTGAGTCTAGTGCCGAAAATCGAACTTTTCTCTTTGGTTTAAAAATTGGTTTTACATTTTCTTTCAACTCAAAGTTGACTTCTGTTTTTGTGCCCAGACCTAGTCCTTCTGAAAAAACACGAGACCATTCATTTTTCAATTCTGTAATAAATTTTTCTGTTTGGTTTGTCTTGTAATTTTCTCTGACGTTCACTTGGTTACAGAAAGAATTTACTGGTAATTCCCACAAATTGAATAATACTATCCAGTTTGTACCAAAGAGGTTTCCTGAACCAGGGAGCACATATACTTTCGATTTGTGAATTTTTCCCATGAACGAAATGTTACATTTTAATTCACTTCGAAATTTGAGTCTTTTTCCAGACACTCCTCTGGCAATTTTGTCTGTCTTCGTCAACGGTGAGTAACCAATTTTTTTCCATGTTAGCTCGTTTATCACAGAGATATCACTTCTTGAATCGAATAATAATTTTACAGTCTGCCCATTTATTTTTACATTGAGGTATTTTCTTCTTTGACCCTCCTCAATTTCATGTTTAGACAAAACTATGTTCGCTTTTGCCTGAGACTTTATTTTTTCATTTCTCTGTTTTGTCCGACAATGGGAACTTTTATGGCCTACATGCCCACAATTATAACATTTTTTATCCTTAAAGTAGCAATTCTTCTTGCAATGCTGTCCTCCACAGGCACTGCATATTATTTTTCTTTCTTTTTGTATCCACTTCTTTTGTCATACATTTTGTACTTGCGAAATGTTCTTCTCCTCAATCCGAGTAGTGTCTTTTTTTACATTTATCATTTGTTGACATTTTTCAGTTACTTTTTGTAACATAATCTCTGGATCTTTTTCCATGATCAAGAGGATTATTGCTCTAATTTCTTTGTTACTTGGTGGTTAGACCTTGCACAAAAATTAGACACTTGAACATGTCACTTGACAACTCTTTCAACTTAAATGCCTCACACTGTGCGTTAACCATACTTGCATATATAACAAAATCATCATCATCATCATCTTCTTTAATGATATTCAGACACTTGTATCGAGTATGAAACAGGCTATCTCTTTTATCGAAAATTTTCAACAAAATTTCCACTGTTTCGCCGAATGTCATTTCCTCTGGTTTCTTTGGGAGGATTAAATTCGTGTATTTCGTATTTTCTTCTGTTCCCAACTTCTGCAACAATGAAGTAATTATTAGTAAAGTCCTTGTCAGACCATTGCTCGCATCTTTTCGTAAATATTGTTTCAAACCTATGAAAATAAGCAGGAAACATTGAACCACTGTCAGGGTTGTATTTAAATTCCGAGAGTGAATTTGAAATTCCTTCAGCAGAAAACAATCTAGACCCCAGATCATTTGTTGTCCTAGATAATGTGTTCGAATAACTTTTCAAACCTTTCTTGTTGCTGTAATTGTTGTTTTTGTAGTTGTTGTTGGAATTGCTGTTGTTGTTGTTGGAACTGTTGTTGTTGCTGTTGGAATTATTGCTGTAAAGTGTCTTGTAGCACCTTAGCTAATTCCACCATTTGTTCCATTTTGCTAACGTATTCACCAGAAAACAATTCCGCTCCAATAAAATTCTTATTCCAAACAAGAGGGGGGCAAGTGTTTCACAAGTTTTTCTAAAGTGGTTTTGGCTACTATAACCAAGTAGAATACGGTAGCAGTAATCGACTGGTACACGTCGTAGTCACAGGTAAGAAGTGCAGATCAATGGCGTAGTCCAATGGGCGTCGTTATAGACTTAGCTCTCAGACTAAGGCTCTTTACTCTCCTACACGTCCGTCGATATTTATGACGGACACCAGCCAATCATGTTCCAGTGAGGGGGGAACACAGGTGTACACATATTCCATTATATCACAATGTAATAAACTTAACCAGAATTTGAACTTGGTTCAGCTATTTCTCTTTCCAAGCCATTACATGACTGCATATCCTACATTATATTTAAATTCAGAGTTTTTCCTTCTCCTAGACTGGTTGCTACTCATGCCTAGAGAAGGATGAATTTATGCTCTTTCCAAGGGCATTAGTACAGAGTATACAAAATAGAATTTACTGAACTAATTAGACCTAGCTTAGAGATTTTACTTTTCATGCTGATAACCATTACACTAACTCCATATAGCTCAGGTATAAAGACAAAATGAAGAGTAACCCCTCAGTTGTCAATGTGCCTCATACTAACTTCAAGTAAGTTGCCCTGGATAGAACTAACTTGAGAGAGTTGTGCCAAAGTGGTATCAGAAATTTTGAAATCGGTCATATTGAACAGCTAAGTGACAAAAGACAATGGCGAAAAGTATCAGCAAATATTCCTGTTGCTATGTCCCAAGATCCTCACTGTTGCACAATATGTGGGCTTGTATGCAGGTTACTAACAGGAGTGAAATGTCACATATGACACAAATATAAAAACTGAGTGACATTGTCGGATCCTCATATGTTGAAATCAACAAGAGTCCATCATATATATTTTTAATCAATTCACTCCAAGCAAGGCAATAATGCCACTAACATGCAAGATGATACTAAGAGTGAAGGGGAAAAGATTTTAAAAGGAACTGAGAACCCAATCCTAAACTGAGAACAAGGGATAACCTCTACTCCTGTTCAAAAGACTGGGGAAGAGTGTGAGATTAATACAAATATAAAATTTGTCACTTAGCTGATTGATATTATTTTCAGAATCTCAACTATGAGTTTCATAGACAGACCCTCCAGCATTCGCTCTGTCCACTCGTCAAGGGATACCAGAAATTTCCAATATATAAACAGTGACATATTTTGCTTTTACTAAATTCTCTGTAATGCATTTTTATGGTAAATATCTTTTAATTTTTATTTTTAATATATACTAAAAATCATTTGAAATATATTTCACTACAACGTTTATATATATATATATATATATATATATATATATATATATATATATATATATATATATATATATATATGAGAGAGAGAGAGAATAAACAATTTTTTAGTAAATCATTTAGAGAGTTCAGTTTAAAAATTATAAGTTTTAAAAATACTAATTTATAACTTACAGCCATATCATATTGAAACACCAGTTCTCATATAATCACTGAAGTTAAGCAACATTGAGCCTGGTCAGTATCTGGGTGGGTGACCACTTGGGAATACCAAGTGCTGTAAGCTTAGAAGGTAGGTAGTTTAATGGATATTGGTTTGGAATTGGAAATTGGAGAGTCAAGTTCTAATTTCAGTCAGGTTCATTATTCATTTATGTGCAAATATCTTTAGGGGACAGTATAAATCCCCCTCTTCTCCCCTCCAGGTATGGGTTAATTAGTAGGACTTGTATCAGTAAGTTATTATCACCAAAAAATGGTTACAATTTAAAATATTTTCCTGCTTTATATAAGTTTGATAAACTGTCAAAAACAAATCAATTAAAACTTAACTAGCAGGTAGTATTCTCATAAATTTTAAGGTTTAGTTGCTAATTTCAATTTAGTCCAACATGGAGATAGGAACATTGATATCACATAGTCTTTCATATAAAGAGGGCTTGGCTGCCTTGAAAATCAGTATTTGAAACTTTGGCTTTTAAGCTACGAACAAACACTGACACAAGCAAAAAATCTGTAACTGCCTCAGGTACAAAGCAGGCCACTGAGGCATTAGTGTAGCAATGGAAGTATGTCATCAGATGCATGTGTTGTAAACAACATTTACAGATAATTTTTATTTAATTCTCTCTTACCTAGCCATCTAGTTACTTAGTTGGAGAAAAACAAAAAACAGCCAACCAAAATCAACCAATGTGTACAAAATGCCAAGCCACACTCACAGCAAAATACGTTTTAGCTAAAAGTACTTATTTAACACCTGTAAGACATAAATACTACAAGGAAACTAACATGAGAAAACTATTTGAAAATACTGAAACCATTAACATAATCTCCTACCTTAAACATATTGGCTTATACCAAAACATGTAACACCCACAATAGATTATCTACAAAATATGTATCTATAAAACATGCCTTTTACTCTGAAAGTATAAAATTATGTATAAAATATATGTAGTTGTAGCCATCAAATTATGTACAAAATATTTAGATTTTAACATTAAATAATCCATAGAGGTTGATATGCTGCTAAATAAAACAAGCAAAATATTTACTTAGTATGAAAAACAGTGAAATAAATTCTATGTAAAATTAACTAAGCATTTTTTAAAAACTCCAATGATGCATGGAGGGATAGTTGGCAAATATTCCCTTTTTAAATAAGTCATCTTGTACAAAGACTTGTTTGATTCTTTGTAACTATTTGACAAAGATATAACAAGTCTTTTCATATATAATTATGATCCACAACATATTGTGAGTAACAACATTTTCTAAAGTGCTTTTCATAAATGGCTTAGAGAAGGAGTGCTAAGAAGTTATCATATTTCTAGTCTTCTGAGTTTACGTTTAGGGTGAAGGCATAAGTAAATGTGATTGTGGAAAATAAATACATAACTTAGATGAAAAAACATTTAACAGAAAAACATTTAGAAAACTGTATCCAGAAAGTCTAGGGTTAAAATGAATTGCCACTCTTCATAACATTAAATCCCCTTTTTATTTATTTATATACTTTGGGGTGGGTTCCTGATACCAAAACAAGGTAAAATATCCATATAAACAAATGTACAAAAGGCCATCGTTGTACCTCAACACAGCAAATCATAACAAATGTTCAAAATGTCCCCCGCTTGCTTCTACACATACATCCACCCTTGGGATCATTGACTAGCAGACACTTTCAAATCCTCCCGCATGGTGTTGAATGGTTTCATAGGCCCACATGACATGTTGATGAAGCGTCTCTGCATTATTAATGTCTGCTGCATAAACCAATTGTTTTAGATGACCCCACAGATAAGAATCCATAGGAATGAGGTTGGGGGGAATGTGCTGGCCATGGAAGGGGTCCTCCCTTACCTATTCTTCTTTCATGGTAGATGTCAGCCTGTGTATCATGATCAATATGACTAAAATGTGCTGGACCCCTATCATGCATCAACCATATGTGTCTTTGTATTAGCACAGGTTCATCGTCTAGCCGGTGTGGAAGTGCATTTGAAATAAAGTCCCTGTAGGAAGCTACTGTAAGACAGGCTGGGAGGACATATGGACCTACCAGATAGTCACCTACAATTCCAGCCCACACATTAATTGTAAACTAATGCTGGTGTGTAGCTTGTATTGTACCATAGAGATTCCAGTCACAAATGTTGGTTGTGTAAATTTGTTATTTTATCTCTTCCAAATGTCGCATCATCCATAAAAAAAGACTGAAGAGACAAACAATGAATCGTCAGTTTATGCAATAAAACATTGGCAAATGTTCTCCTGTGGTGAATGATCAGAGGGTGAAAAAACCCTGCACACGTTGCAAATGATACCGATATAGGAGCTGTTGTTTAGGTACCTTCCTTGAGATACTATGAGATGTACGACATGCTAAGGCCACTTGACATGTGCTGATACTTGGATTGTCACCATCAGTTTGTAAAATGTTTTCTTCATGGTCAAGTGTGTGAGCAGATTTCAATCTTCCTTGATCCATAGTTTGTGATGCCACAAATCCTGTCTCAGCAATGTAATGATAAACAGCAGCAAAAGTTGTATGGCTTGGCTGCCTTCAATCTGGAAACACAATCTAATACAGCTGTGCAGCCTCATGTCCATTACCATTCATGCAGCTGTATGTAAATATCATATCTGCCTGCTCATGATATGAATATCCTGCCAGTGTTAAATGGAATACTTCTCAGTTAACTCACTACTACACACATTAAATGTTGAAGACACACTAGCCACAAATGTACACAAATGACAAATGTAACCTAGTCTACATGTTAACACAGCTCCTTCTAATGTAAACTTTCTTTAAAATTAACTCAAAAATGAAGGATTTGTAGACATAAGTTTATATGGACTTTTGTTCTTGTTTTGGTGTGAGGAACCAAAGTCCAAAGTTAATAAAAGTATTTTTAATACACCCTTTAAAGATCAAATGCAGATTGGAATCTAACAGGATGATAAAATAAAGAACAGATAGAAAACATATATGACTCTAACATGTTTCACTTTTATTAAATCTTTGTCAGGTTGAGAGCGAAAAAAAAGATAGAACTTTAGTATTTCCAATTTGGCCGCACAAAGGTGAAGACATTAGAACTCCTCTTTTTAGACAGACACACATACACAATTATGAATACACATTACCATCTGATGCACACTTCGACATACAAGAATCTTAACAAACTTACATACATATAGAATTATCTATGGTTTTAATGCACATGGTACATGAATGACTAATGAGAATTGACCCAAACAAAATTAAAAATACCAAAGTTTGATTCTTTTGTCTGTTTTCTCTCAATCCCTGACGAAGCTTTAATAAAAGTGAAATATGTTAGATTGATAAACCTTTCCTATTTGTTTTTTATCATATATATATATATATATAAGTACACAACACACATGGCCTTAAGATTATATTCAAGCATGAAACAGATTGTTGCCACTCAATGTCCATTTATATGTATATGTAATGTAAGTTTGTTGGCAGGCTCATTCAGTTTAGCTTATCTATTTAATAGCTTTATTATCTATCAATAAAATATATATAAAACAATACACTTAACAAAATGACAGATGAGGTTAGATCAAAGGTCATTAATCTGGTTTTTAATCCTTCCTATACCTACAAATGTGACAGAGACTTTTCAGTTCAATGTTGGTCAAGTTTTGACAAAGTCCTATTTTAGTGTCAGATTGAATTTAGTCTGCATCACTATTTTTTAACAAAAAAAAATATAATTAATGTATGTGCTTCTACATTTCTAGAAGATTCTTTTTAGGTCTTCTACTTAAGTAATCACATTCTAACTCACCTTTTTTAAACAAATTTAGTTGAATTCATGACAAATTTTATCTAGAGTAAGAAATTGCCAGGAAATCAGTTTTGTGTTATGCTTTACCATATTGCTGAACAGTACCCTGTTTGAGGTGGACATTGAAATTTTGTACTTATAAGTAAAATTTTTATATATATGAGGAAAATGATATAAATTTTTTTATATATCAACAATTTTAGGGGAAAAAAGTCTGACAAAGTGGAAAAAATTTGTGTGACACATTTTGTCCTTTATGATTCCATTGGACTAAATTGATATTTAGGTTCATACACATGTGATGTAAGTAAGAAGGACATTGAGAATTTTAAATGTACATTTTTTTTTTTTAATATATGTTTTTGGGTATATATATATATATATAAAAATTTGATTCGGCCAAAAAAATGACTAGATTAAGAGTGCTCAGTACTGTTTTCATAGAACAAAAATGTAGAGCAAATTGGTATATAAAATATCAGAAACTCTACCCTTCTTGCAGCCACTGTTTCTGCCAAAAAGGCCTCTTCAAGCAACAAGTTTTCTGATATATATTCTTGGTTGAGGTAACCGACTACTACTGACCACTAATCTCTTAGCCCTGTCTGTCTCACCTTCCCTCCCCACTACCAATCCAAAGTGTTTGTCCGGTGTACTTTCTCCATTTGTGGAGAAGATTTCATTCTGATGAGCTGAACATCTCAGTGTTCACAAAATAAAAATTATAAACGAAATGGATAATTAAAGTCTTCTTATTATAATTATAATGCTCTGTAGTCTACACTGAGCTCTCCCTTGATTTATATCTCCATTAGAATTATCCCTTCCAGTCACAAACTGGTAAAACGTGTGTGTGTGTGTGTGTGTAATATATAATATAAAAGGCTCAAACACTAATATTCCATGGTTATAATTTATTACATTGGAATCGTAATCATGATCCAAATCATCAGACCTAAAAATTCAAAAAGAAATCTTTTTGAATTTGTAGTTCTGATGATTTGGATCGTGATTACTTTGTCCTGGATATTGAGTTCTACCTGGATTTTATCCTTTTGGCAATTTATATATATATATATATATATACACACACACACACACACAAACATTTCTTGTTAAAGATGACAGACAAGGTACTCCAATTAAGCTCTTTATTTAATTTTTCTTGTGTTCAAACAAGTGTTTTCTTTTCTGGACATAGTGTGTAGAAACTGTCCAAATATTCTGTAATTCCA